CTATTCTCTGAAGTACTGGGATACTGAACAGAGTAAATAAAGGCTGAGAAGTGCTGACTGATACGTCTAGGTTACTGAAAGGCTGAGAGGTTCCTGGTTGAACGATCTTGCTGTTCTACTCTGTCACACTTTTTGCCAAATTTGGAGCCAGGAAGGAATTTTTCCCCTGGGACAGGTGGGCATGGACTATAGGAAGTCTGCTCTCCTCTGTAGCATGGAGCATGATCAGCTTCTTAGGATGCTCTGAGCATATATGAATCATGAGCTTTGGTTTGGTATTGGCCTGCTTGTGTGGCCTAGAGTGGTGTGTGCTGAGAGCAGACCTGTTGCATTGCCACTTCAAGCCTGCGTGTAGGCTCAGGCTCCCAGGTGGAGCTCTAGCTCTCAGGTTTATGTGGGCATTGGTGATTCAGTAGTACAATTCTTGCTCACTATGTGGGAGGCCTTGGCTTGATTCCTGGCCAATGCAGTATAAGGTTTTTTTTATGATGGGGATGTAGCTCAGTGGCAGCATGCATGCTTTGCATGTATGAGGCCCTGGGTTCAATCCCTAGCATCTGGAGTCTTCAAGCAGGTCCCATGGTGTAATGGTTAGCACTCTGGACTCTGAATCCAGCAATCTGAGTTCAAATCTCAGTGGGACCTTAGTGCATGTAAGAGCTTCTTTATCCTACCCAGAGCAAAGATTCATGGGGGTGTGATCCAGCCTGCTCATTACTACCCCATGGTCCTAATCCATGTGGATACAAATGATGCAGCCAGGAGAAGACCTGATCACCTAATGGCAGACTACCAGGCTCTGGGGGGTGTGCTGAAGGAGATAGGCTTTCTGTCCTACCAGTGAGCGGATGTGGTAGACGGCATCAGACATGCATCACAGAGACCAACTGGCGGCTTCAGGAATGGTGTCTTGAGGTGGGCTTTAGCTTCCTTGACATTAACCCGCACATCACGATGAGAGAGATGCTTGGGTGGGATGGGCTCCACCTTTCCCCTAAAGGTAAGCGTGTGTTCTCTTCTAGGTTGGCAGATCTCCTCTGACGGGCTTTAAACTAGGCTCATCACGGGAAGGGGAAGATGAGGGCAGAGGAAGCTAAACCAAGCAGCACCCACAAGTACAGCCCAGCCTAGACCAACGAGCAGAACGTATACGCAGGTAAGCAACAGGGGCCAGGGCAATGCTGTGATTAGGGAGCCAGTGCACACATCCACAGGAGGCCTCAAATGCCTCTACACAAATGCTGATAGTATGGGAAACAAGATGACACCAACCCAGACATAGTGGGGCTTACTGAAACATGGTGGGACCCAACACATAAATATCAAGGGCTATAGGCTGTACAGGAGGGACAGGACAGGGAGGAAAGGTGGAGGGGTGGCACTCTACATTAAGGAGGAATACACATCCTCACCAGGTAACACAGTCAGAGGAGGGGCACATGGAAGTGCTCTGGGTTACAATACAAGGCAGTCAAGGGGAAAGAGACT